AGCCGCGACCGCGTGGCAGCAGGGAAAATGGCCGCGGATCCGGTTCGTAACTCGAGGCGGAATTCGCAAGTAGAGGTAAATTTTTGGGGCCGGAGCTGGTCCTATCTCGAAAAATTCGTAAGGCGGGGGGCGTTCGTAACTAGAGGTACCACTGTACAAGGCTAATTCAGTATATTTTGTGGGATGTAAGGTTTAAGTGATATTTAATAGAAAGATGGCAGGTTGGAAAGGAAATTAAAGTTTTAGAATTTGTTTCATTCCCATTACAAAAAAAAAATCCAAAACTGTTGAGCTTTGTAGCATTGACACTTAATACTGAACAATGATCCAACTTGATTATTACATTTCCAATCTTTTTTAGAAAATGAACTATCAAGTTTAGGAATCAGTACTGGAGTAAAATACCATGGTAAAACACCTTATACCAGTTTTCTCTAAATATAATATTAACTATAAATTTAATCTTCCACTGAAATTTCCATTGCTGCATATCAATTATTCTAAATCCTGCATCCAATCTGATCACACAATAAGGCCCAGCAAATGCTCCAAATTTTGCTATTGGCTACTTTAAAAGAAAAAAGAGATTTTGGGGGGAAAAAATGTCACTGAATGTCAAGATGGAAAATTATAGCAAGAAACTAGCATTAACATAAAATAATAAAATAAAAAGTAAAAGTTACATGGTACTTTGTTGTGGAAGAAGATTAATTAGGTTTAAGCAACTAAAGCTGCAGCCCTAGATACAGTCACCTGTGAGCACATTCCCTCAACTCAACAAGGTTTATTTCTCTGGAGATGCACTGGATTGTAACCTTTTGAGGAAGACTGGTTTCCTTATCCAATGTTACATCAAGAAAACTAAAGAAGAAAATCAACTTGCAAAAACAAAACTGTAACTTCACGTATAAACATTCTTATATTTATCTTATTTCCCTCTTCATAAGTCACAAGTATTATAATCAAATCAAAAAATAAAAAGCAGTTTTTAAATAGAAGTAAATAGAAAGAAAGAGAGCAAGTTTGATGTCGTGGCTAAAGACCATGCTAGAAACTGGGAGACGGTGAGTTCTAGTCCCGCCTTAGGGACGCAGCCAGCTGGGTGACCCTGGGCCAATTTTCTCAGCCCCAGGAAGAAGGCAAGGGCAAACCACTTTCAAAAAACCTTGCCAAGAAAATTGCAGAGACTAATCCAGGCCGTTGCCAGGAGTCAACACTGATTCGAAGACACAAAATAAAAATTAAAAAAAAAAATTGCAGAATAGGGCAAAGCATTCAGAAAATGACAAACTGAAGTTAACGGGCAATTGAACTTATGACAAAGACACGTCCTTCTAGCAAGCTATAGAAGGTAGGTCCATGACAGTCTAGGATAATCACACAGCAGTTACTGCAGAATAGCTGTATCCTAACCTAGTGACCTCCAAACTACAGTTTCTACTGTCAGTGACCCCTGGCCATATGGACTTTGTGGCCTATCTTGGTTGAGGATGCCATGCTCAGGAAGGCTGTTGGAAGTAATTTGGTAACTTTTTGAAAGCAAACAGGAAACTAAAACTACTTGCAGGATAGGTAGAAGCACTCGCCAGCATTTTCACTGCAACATTCTGGCCCAAGTTCTGAAGCCTCTAGTGATAACCCAACAGAATATAAACTTCACTGGGATAATCTAGCCTAGATGCAACAAAAGCAGGTGTGAGGCCTTCTCAGAAACTGACAGAGTTGGCACTTCAAGGTAAGTTAGGCAAAGATACTCCTGGCTTCAGTTGCTACCTAATATTCAGGTGGATATTAGGGGTATTCTCAAGCATTAACTTGATTCTTCAGGAAAGGAAATACTCTATGAAAAACTTGTAGAATTCATTCTCCTAACTATAAGCACATCTCTCTTATTTAGATTAAGTCTCAATTTAAGAAAATATGAAAAGATATTTATCATAAAAATATGAAAAGAAGATAAGAAAATATGAAAAGAAGATGAGCACAACAAAAGCTATCACCAAATTGGGTTTTTTTGCCTTAGATTTCCCCCCCTTCTTTCTTAGTATCCCTGCAACCTGAAATACTAAGCATCATTTGGTATTTTACAATTACAAATTCACCTCATTTAAGGGGATTTTTTAATGGAGGGAGGGGTTGTTAACTGGACACACATATAGAAATAAACCTGGCTCTTAAAATGAAAATTAACAGTTAACTTGGCCATATGCTGCTATTATCATACTCATACAAGTGATCATTTCATCCTATCAAGAAAGTGGCAACATTTATAGTTGGTTAACCAGCTTACGATCACAGATCCATTAACACAAAAACTTAAATACTTAAAATATTTATAACATAGCACAAATGTCATACATATTAATTGAACGACTATTCTGTAATACAATAGGAAAGCATGCTGAAACAAAACACCTCAGCAGTATTTTAAAGCAGTAACCACCTAGCCAATTTCTGTATGTTCTGTAGTTTTTCTAATCCACTCTCCCTGTGGCTGAGCAAAATCGAATTGCCTCTCACATTTGCAGACAGCTCTGTGAAGGTGATAATAGAGCTGCTCCCTGCTGTCATGAGGCAGGAAATAGGAAAATGGCATATGGGGCTAGAAAGAAATAAAAAAAGAATCAAACAAGAACAAAAGAGATTTCAACAAAGGACAAACTATAACCCAATATGCTTTGCAAGTTAATCTCTTTTCATAAGGATTCTGCATAATCATTCATCTGCAAACTTACCCTAAAATGTGAATGGTTGCAAAGTTGTTAGGGGAAGTTTTTATTTTGGAGGACGTGCAAAAAGTATCAAGTTCCATCTTAAGAGAGAACATTATGTCTCTCTAGAGAAGGATTTAATCTAACATAACTTGCTATGATTTCATTTTGAAAAGACTGAAGATTTCACCAATCTAAATTGTACTAACGGTCTTGGCCCTAAAATACAGATTGTACTGCATTTAATAGAAACACTTTCCATGTAGGAAAGTTTTTTTAGTTCCTTTTTGACTTACCCATAAGGACCAAAGAGTTCTTCAAGAACAAAAGGACAGAGAATAGTTAAAGAAAGTAGAAACGTTCTATATACCTCAAGCTAGCTATATTTAATTTAAGGGAAAAAAGGGGGGAAAGACAATTCTCATATTTTTATCTAAAGAAATGGTTGACACAACCCTCTGTTTTCCAAAATGTTCCATGTAAAAGAAACCATAATATAAGATTTGATTAAAAAACATTAAAAGAGGCACTTTCCCCCCCTTCATATAAACTAGCACATACCTTTCCTTTTACACTCTGAATGGGATCCACTACTACTGCCACAGCTCTTTCTGAAAGGGCCTCAAAACTCTGTTGAGTATTGATATCCACACCAGACAACCAACAGCCAAAACCAGGATGACTGTGATACCAGCCAACAACCATCTCAGGTCTGGAATAAAGGAGGCATTAGGAAATTCAACTATTTTCAGCAGAACGCATGAAAGGCAACAATGTAATACAAACACTTCTAGAAGCATAAGAAAATACTAAGGCAAAAGAAAGCGCCAGTAGAAACATTTATATTTATGCTCACCACATTATAATGAAAACATGAAAATGTGGTGAAGGAGTGCTAGCATTAAGGGAGGTGTAGTCACAAGTGTAGGTCAGGCTCTCAGTTTTTCATCCTGTTGCCACACCTCCTATCCAGTTTTTATCTTTTCAGCACTTTGGGAAATACCTACTCTAACACTAGAGCCAAGTTGGTTTTTCACCACAGAATATCCATTTCAAGCATGGATGATAGGAACAAGCAACAGCAAAAGATTAAATATCAATTAAACCAGTAAAAGTAGAGATTTGCTCAAAAAGCAATTTGCACTTTTCTGCTCGGCTGTTGAGTCTTTTGTTAACATTAACTCTTATACAGTTGTAAGTTTTTATATCAGTATAAGAATTTTAGCACAAAGATGACAACTGTTGAGAGACTCCAAATGAAGTCCTGAATTTTTTTAATATTTGAATTCCCCCCCCCCAAATAATTTTGGTTGGGTGTATAGAACAATGGTTGAAAAATCAGAATAAGGGTGGTTAACTGTCCCTTTTCTATTGTGTTAATACAGAAATGTAACCTGTTATTGAATATTCTAACTACTCCATACCTGGAGACAATCAGCACTAGAAATTTGAAAACACTTAGGCTGGCCTTCTACAATATATTAAATCCATTATTAAATGTAAGTAACCTATCATATAAATCACCCAGAAGGAATAAGGTTATGTTTAAACATTAGTAAATGATAGGATAGGAAATCAAGAGGACTTGAGTGTTATTATAATGTATTTTTATAGTCAATAGAGAAAATTATTTTTATAGCCAATAAAGAAAATCCTAACCTTCCAGTCTGTTTTAACATATCCAACATTTTGGCTTGAAACACAGGATCAACTGCCTCCACACTGACTCCCTGCATTTGGAAACAGATTAACAAAGGTAATTTTAGGTACAACTAATTCAACTTTTTCACATGATTAATTCAGGACAGTAACAATGTGATCTTCTACAAAAAATGAAGAGAGATGTCAGGAATCACAGAAATGTTTCTTTTAACAAACACATTTTATTCATTTGTATTCACTGCTCCCTTTCAGGAGTGCACAGGAGTTTAAACTTAGAACATTCAATGAATTACTGTGACTGCTTTGTCCAAGATCCCTTATACACTACAATATATCCAGTCAAAATTAGTCATGTTTTGAGAGCAATTCAAAAAATAAATTACCACTGATTTTTATGGAATCAAAATATGACAAACTTAGCCAATAGCTTCCACATCAAAATCCACCTTTTTAGTTAGTACCCTAAGTTTATAAATTTAGTATTTTTAAATTTTAGAAGAACATTTTAGAAGAAAAGTAAATGGAACAAAGCACTGCCCCTTTGTAATATTAAATCGTCTCTTTGAAGACAGGTCAGCTCTTCATCAACCCCATTCTGTAATGGTAGTGAAGAAACAATGCTCCTCTGTCATCTTCTATTCTTGAAGGGCAGATGGATGTAACTTCCCTAAATAATTTGACATCTTCTCTGGGTTATCTTCAAAATGATACAAAATAACTCTCAATAATCATTTAAGAGGACAAATTTACTCTTATCTACTTTGGACTCTTAATTCCACAATTCAGTTCATAAATGTGCAATGTCCGGTCATATTCAATTTGTACATTTTAGCTGGCCACCAGCCATAGCATAGTATTGGGCAAATATGAGGTTGTATGAGTACAACCTCATATTTGTAATTAGAAATACAGCATCAAAGACATAAATATGTTCATAAATTGAATGAAAAATAAATAAAGTCCAGAATGACTGAGTGCAGAAATTTTTTAATGCTTCTGTAAGAGAAATTGTCTAACCATCTTGAAAAAGATACTCATGACACTATACCAATTGAAAAGGCCATAAGTAAGAACTACTACTATTTACCAACATTGCTTTCTTGAACAAGGTGCCTGAACAGATGGTTGCCATGCCGCATTCTTGGATAAAACTGATTACAATATCTGCATTTATCTGGTTTCAAAATAGCTTTTTTCACTTAGACATCTCAATTGCTGTTTAAGTCAACTGCAGGATCCTACTGGATCTAATGTGCAAAATTTGAGGCATGAAGTATTTCTGTGGTCATTTATCCCTGGATAACTGGTTGCAGAAAGGTGCTGCATTGTTGACATTACAGAATTTATTAAAGATGTGAGTTGTTTCAAAGAGCCTTCCCCTGATTTTATCACGCCATCTTTAACTTCCATTTCTATTGTTTGTATTCTTAAGTCTGGTTGGTGCTGTTTTTATTGTTTTTACAGAAGTTGGTACTATAGATATAATTGGTTTTTAAATTCTATGTAAACCACCATGCGTTTTTGATTGCGGCAGAATAGGGGAGGGAGGGAGGAAGGAAGGAAGGAAGGAAGGAAGGAAGGAAGGAAGGAAGGAAGGAAGGAAGGAAGGAAGGAAGGAAGGAAGGAAGGAAGGAAGGAAGGAAGGAAGGAAGGAAGGAAGGAAGGAAGGAAGGAAGGAAGGAAGGAAGGAAGGAAGGAAGGAAGGAAGGAAGGAAGGAAGGAAGGAAGGAAGGAAGGAAGGAAGGAAGGAAGGAAGGAAGGAAGGAAGGAAGGAAGGAAGGAAGGAAGGAAGGAAGGAAGGAAGGAAGGAAGGAAGGAAGGAAGGAAGGAAGGAAGGAAGGAAGGAAGGAAGGAAGGAAGGAAATTTTGTTGGATTTTGTTACTTACTTATATTTTAATATTCTGCTTGTATTTTTAAAACAAAAATTTGTTGAAGGTAACATAAATTAACCAGATATGCAGGCAAAAGGGAGCATCTTTATGTAACCTTGTAACCTATAAACTACATGGATCTGTGTCATAAGATCACTTCAAGATATATTCTAAATTCTCAAATTTCATTTAAGTAGGATTAATGCACTCATGCCTTTTTTTCTTCCTTATGGTAGAAACTGGGGATGGAATATCCAATTTCCAGTACAAAACTTCTGCTATGAGCACAAAATGGACTCTCTGAAACTCAGAATAGAATGTTTCAAGCTTGGAATAGTTCTATTTCAAGCTCAAAGGATTTCCAAATGCTTGAAGCAGCCTGTTTCTCCCTTGAAATGGTTCAAAACAAAACGTCTAGTTACCCCCCAGTAGCTATTTAATTACTGCCAGGTTAAAGAGATGTTTGAACCACAACAGAAACATCTGGAATGTAAGTTGTATCATAGTCAAAGATTTCTACAGAAAAAGTTCAGGAAAACAGTATGAATAAGTTCTGATTGAACTTTTCATATTGTTTACCACAGACTTCAATACATCATGCAACTGATAATATCTAGTTACAAAACAATGTAGTTATTTATGACTGGAAAAGTTATGTAGAAGATAGAGCATCACATTCTTATAAGCTTAGATATATATACTGCTTGTATCAATATCTTCTTCAAAGAAATTAAGCGTGTTGGGGAGGAAAATTTTTGAGGTACAATTATCCAGTGTGATAGCACATGTACTAACTGAAAGTACTCACCGTTCCTGACTGTGGCATAGCAAACACATCAATCACTCTGACAGTATAATCATCAACAAATTCTCCAAGCATGAGTCCCATAACTTCCATGGGAACACCAGCTCGACCATGCTTCAACATCTGGAAAGATCAGAATTCTACTGAATAATATTTAAGGAACAGATGCTTGATTCTCTGGTGGTTTTAAATTTCTTTTCTATTATATATTCACATCTTTAGAGTTATAAGGCCACAGGCAGCATTCTCTGAAAATACTATAATATTACTTGTCTTACATAATGATTCACAGCAAGCTATTAATGGAGAAATCAAGTTTTTGAAAGCAAATGACAATGGGATGGCAAGAGAATGGATCATATCTCAGAAGATGATGCCATTAAAAAGAGAAAAGAATATATTATAAAATATTCCTTCCAATGCCTATTAGTTCTGTTTGTATAGAACAATCTACAAAATCTATGTTCAAAATATCTTCATTGGAAAAGAACTTGGAGACCTCTGAAGAGCACAATGTCACAGAACAGTGAGATACTGGTAGGAAAAATCTATCTCTGCTTTTACAGCACAAGTATCATCTTTAACCATAAAGCAGCTTTTATTCTCTTTGATTGATGTGCCAGTTATTGTCCTAGTTTGAGAACAACAGCCTCACTGTCATAATCCAACCTCTGCTAACCTCTCATTTAGATTACTGCAATGTATTCCATATAGGGCTGCTTATGAAGATAGTACAGAAATTTCACTTTGTACAAATTATTACCACAAGAATAGTTATATTGCTCCTTATGTTCATATTATGCCAGGTTTATACAATCAAAACTGATTCCCAGTTTATTTATGGTCCCATTGGCACTTTCCTGTAAAGCCCATGGTCCTCCTCAATGGCCTTGCCCTGGGAACCCCAACCTTAGAATGTGTCCTCAGCCCTGGATGAACACTTGGACCAACTTCATTTTTCTTCCAGCAGCAAGCAAAAATGTTTTCATTCTCCCCACGTTTTGAATATATTATTATATTAATACCTTAATGTTTTTCTTGCAAAGAAACATTTTAAGATATAAAGACTGATGCAGTAATCTAAATGCACATAATTATATTCAATCTGATTTTTTTTTATAAGATTCAAAGATTTCTAAAGAGTTTTAAAAACCATCACATAATTTGAATAAGTCACTTTGTGATTCACACTTAGAGGCTATTTGTAAAGTATCTCCAGGCATGGAACAGACAGCTGCCCATAGTAGTAAAATTAAAGTTGTTTACCAGTATACTATCTGCTCCTTAAAAATATACAGTGGTGAAAAAAATGGAGGGCAAAGAACCCATAAAGAGTTCAATGAGAATTGAACATACTCATTAGATGCTAAGTGTTGACCAATTCTTACTAGGCACAGTAGGAAAAACTGAATGGAAATAGGAATGTAACAAATGATTATATCAGGAAGCTATAGTTATCCAGATGTTGCTTGACCACACAACTCTCAGCATCCTTTGCCATTGGCATTATTGCTGGCACTTGTAGTTCTGCAACACCTGGAGGGCTTCTGATTCCCCAACCATTTCACATACCTGATTTTTAAATGCTTCAGCAAATATCACCTTTGATACAAGACACAGAAGAAACATCCCCATCATAATACATTCAGTGCTTTGTACAATACTTAAAAAACACATAAATATTTACCTTTAGAAGTGCAAGAGAAGAGATGTAAACCTGCTCAGCTGTGTCAACTGCAGGTGCATCTGTAGGAGGACCCTAGGTAAAGAAACAACATTCTATAATGTACACAACTCTACTTTATAAATAAAATGTGCTTCATTTTAAAAAGACATAGCATGAACACATTTGGTTCTATTAGTTGCAGAATTTTAAAACAAAAATGATAGCAGCAATCCCAAACCCCTACACTAATATAGGAGGGTTTCAACTGTTTTCTTCCCTCATCATTTAAAAATATGAAGAATGCAAGGTTACTGTGCTTGTTTCCATATATGTGAAACACTCAATATCCTTCCTTACATTATGTGAAAACAAGCTTAGTAAGACACTGAACTATGAATTAGAAGATCTAATTCAAACTTTGCATCTGTAATTCCTTAGTGTCTTTCAGCAAGTCACTGGTTGACTTCACACACTGCAATACCTCAATGCCATGGTTTGATGAATAAGCATAATGGTTAGTTTCATATATTAAGCCAAAACCTTACATGTCACATTGTGGCTTAGCACAATATGTGAACCCCGTCACTCTTAGTAGTGGCCTTGCATCTATGAGGATTACACAGATCCACCTCCCATTCATACAGTGCCTATTATTATTTATATGTCTCTCAATTCCAGTCAAATATATTTCGTTGTGCATCATTTACCTAGTCAGAATAAAAAAAATAGTACTGCTCTCTCTCTCTCTCTCTTTCACTCACTCACACACACCCACACACACCCCACACACACACAATCTCCAATTAACTACATGTTTCTTACAGTGGTGTGAATATAAATGCTGCTGGGCTAGCATGATTAACTGGCACCAACACAAACACAATTTCCCTTTGCTTCATCAGTTTTTAGCTAAAGAGAACTTGGAAAAAGGCTACAGGAGCATTTTGCAGATCCATTGGTACAGTGAGAGAAAAAAATGGACTTCCAATCCCTAGGCAGAAAAGCTGTGAACAAAATACTCTGCTCTTTGCTTTATGAGTAGCTAATAAAAAATTAGCACAATTGTCCCAGGTGTGAATGACGACCAAGGCCAAAATTATGTATTGCTCAAGCGTAGAATGCCATCTATAGCTTTTCAAAATAAAAATTATGCACTTCCTATGAATAATGACCTAGTAGTACAAAATCATCTAACTGTGGCAGATTCTGTAGGATAACTCTACAGGGGAAAAAAACCCCAACCAATATATGCTGATGATCAAGCATGCAATACGCATTTCTACTTAACACTATATTGGTTTTACTTCATTATATTTAAAACAGCTTAAAATATCTACTTAGCCATAAAATATCAATATGTGAATTTTAAAAGATGAAGTTGGGTATTTACAGGAGATTCAAAGAATTGGGCCCACAGTTCAGAAGGTCCTGCTTTTAATTCCTGCAAATGACCTCACTCTAAATACTACAGCTGAGAGCAGCTCTTGTCGATGACTATACAATGAAACAGTTCGAGGTTTCATGATAGCAATTATGAAAATAATTGCCACCATTTGTGACCTGAAGGTTTAATGGTAAAGCACCATTAAAAGGGGGCAATAGGTAGTATTCAATGCCATTAAGAATATTTTATAAGGAAGGACTGCATTAGAAAATTTAAAAATTAGTAGTGGGAATTTTGCTAACAAACTTTAAGTGATTTTGATCTCTCCACATTATTGCCCAGGACTCTGGAATACTCAGTTCTATTTCCTCCTTTTGTATGCAATCATCATTTTCTACTAGCTTCTGAAAAAACAGCATTGTCATTAAATAGTCTGATCCCCCCCCTTCAATTGATCCCTCTATTACTACTTCTAATAGTACTAAGCACAGAATGCAACTTTTAATATTTCATTCTGCTGACAGGTTATAGATAACCCCATGCTAATACTAGCTTTTGAATTGCTATGTTATTTTATGTATTTGCTTACAGAGGACCTTTTTACCCTATGGGCTTTTACACATTACTGCTTTGCCCTCACTTATGTTCACAATGTCTCTTAATTTAACCACAAGTTGTTAGTATATGACTATATGCTATTCCCTCTTCTATCTTCCAAAGAATGCTAAACAAATTTCCCTAAGGTACTCTACACCACAGACTGTATGCAACTAGTTGATTTAAAATCCTATGCCAAATATTATGATTAACAAGGAACAACTAGATAGCTTCATTTGATATAAGCAAACAGCCAGTTGGTTAGCAGGACTTCTCATTCTACTTATAGTGCTTAATCTTGAAGGTTCCTCTATTCTTAGAGTAGATCTGGTCTTCAGGAGGTAATGATGGGGGAGGAATCTATTCCACTGCTTGTTGCCAATCCATCGATATATGTTTCTCAGGTACAACTGAGAATCAATTCTTTTATCTTAGATTTGCTTTAACTAATCTTACATGTGCCAATTCAGCCATATAGCCCTATTTGCATATTCAATAATATGCTGTATTATATATGAATGTATAATTGCTACCCCAAGTATAGGTACATTTTCGTCTAAATATTACTATTACAGTGTGAATAGTTTCAGAGCAACAACAAAAATTCAATTCATTATATTGTTTTGAAACAAAATTCTGGACATCTAGTTAAACAAAACTGTATTTAAACTCTTCAGTCATGTAAACTGTTTACAGTTACCATCATAAGTAGAAAAGTAAATAACTACAGTAATAAAGCAAATTATTTTTAAAGGGGTCTAAAAGAAACACATAGATGCTGATCCACCAAATTACAATCAAGAATGATGCTCAGAAAATTACTGTCTGTAAATAGCAAGGTAAACTCTCAGTTCCACAGAATGATCAATTATTTTACACTCTTCTGTACCTATCTATAAGCTCACTGATATACAAGTTGGCACATCTGTAAGCCACAAACTGTAGAAGAGCTTTGTGTTTTCCTCCCCTCCCTTCCCATTTACCACCGGGCAACATTAATGAAGATGCACAGCACTTGTATATTAAATTGTTAGATTATACATCAAACCACATCTGCCTGTCATTTTCCATTCTAACCAGTGATCTACAAAGGTGATGAAAAGTAAATATACTTTTCGCTGAAATACCAGATGCATCAAATTCCCCAGAGAATCAATGTGCTAACATCATCACCAAAGACTAAAACTGAAGCAAGCCTTTAAACTTGGTGGTTTACTTACAACTAAAGTAAGCCACAAAAATTAAAAAAAACTTTATGGTTTTTAAAAGTTCTTTTGTATCCAGTGCATAAAAGATAAGTAAGGAAAATCAATCCTGATTATACTTTTTAAGAAAAGAAACAGATGCTTCTTTCTGACTAAACTGTCTACCAAGTGTTAGACAGTGAACTGACCTGCCTGCAGGGCAATCGTATCAGCTGTAAGCTGCATCAATCATTTCTCTTAGCCATTCCTTATTAGCAAATGCAGAATTTAAGGGAGTATCTCATAATTAAAAAGCATTTTTACATTTTAAAATACAGATACCAGTTTCTAAAAATCTAAGAGAACAAAGATCAAACAATCAGATCACAAATTAATCCAGTGAGGTTCAAATGAGGCACTACTTTCTTCAGGAGCATTCGAATATAATCCAACTATAAAAGCTGTGACTTTTCCTTGGGCAGCCCTTGTTGACTAAGTGTTAAAAAAGGCATTTGCCATTCTAACAGCATAAAACTAACGCCTCAAAGTGTTATCTACTCAGGCCTTTTAGCAAATTTGTTAACACTTTTAGGTATATTACTCCACCTTTCTCTTAGTGTGAACTGGTATCAATTATTTAGCCAGTTTTATTATGTTATTAGAATACCTGCTGATTTATCATGAATCAAAGTGTCATTTTAGAGCACTGCCCTTTACATCACCATACATTTCTTTAAATGTAAATGATGGAAAATAAATAAATGCCACAACTATAAAAAAAACCCGCAGACCTAGAGAAACATTTAAAACTCCTGCTGAACAGTCTTCCCCATTTAGTGGTGCTGCATTTCTTAAAAAAATGTTTTTAAATGTGGAAAAAGTGGTCCAGTTCTTAAAAATGTCATTATAAAGGAGACCTCTGTAACTAGACTAAATTCTTAGATGGTTAGATCCAATATTATTTCCATCCATTATTTTCAGATAAAACCCTTTTAAAATATAAACACAACAAAACAAGCATAAGCAAATGTACAACTATCCAACACTGTCATGTTTATTCTTACCCGGTAAAATAAAAATAGGAACCTTTTAATACTTAATTTTGTGAGTATTAAACAACTAGTGTGAAAAACAAGATGCATGTAAACTACTTCTACTGCCTCTGCTTCAATGACTAGCTGAGACAACCTGTTATAGGAGGTGTTAATTGGCAATAGGAGTGCAAGTCAGAAGCATGTTCCCCATCGTCCTAACCCAGCAAGGCTAGGTCATTAAAGTGGAAATGAATTCTTTCATGCTGACTTAACTCTTGGAGTACAGATTTTCAGCTGTTACACCTAGAGACAATTGAGAGTGTGTGCTACTTCAATGGCACAAAAACCATTTGCCTCTTAAAAATAATTGTATTATGTATACGCTTTATTATTCACTATATAGTAGAAATAATCTGCAAATGATCTAATGGTTAATGCACCCATGACTATAAGGAGATGAACAAGTAATCAAGTATACATGTATTCCGAGATGCACAACAGTCTGCAGACTTGCAATAGAAGAATCTGGGACAAATGATTTTCCTAACAAAGAAAAGGGTAACATGTCACTGCAAATGTGCCTAATTGTATAAGAAGTTGCAAATATCTTCTTATGAGATTAGGCACAATGGACAATATGTCTCAGGAATGGAGCAGCAGAGAAACAGAATGAAGTAAATAATTAAATAACTTAAGCCACGTAAGAAGAATTTTAGTAACCTTGAGTACATGGAGTAGAAAACACCATCTAAACACCACCATTTTGAGAGCTACGTGTGAAGCAGAAGTTGTAGGCCAGATAAGAGGTTTAAATTTCAGCTCAACTATAATGCTCATCAAGTGATGTTGAGCCAGTCAAATAACCTTTTTCATGGTCATGGTATGTAGGAGAAC